CTGGAAATTTTGAACAAATAATGTAGTTATCAGTTCTTCACTTTGTATTCATATAGCACCAACTTGAGATAGAACAATCCTTCAGATCTCAGTCCATCCTGTCTATCCTAAAGATCTTGTGATTCCTTAGTTAACATTTACTAGATGATAGAAAATAGCAAAAAGTGAGAGAAATGCTAGTAACAGAAGTCTGAATATGATAATGCCTATTTTTAGAAATTTAAAATAGCGGTGCTTTTTTTCTAAGTGTATCTTTCTCCAGGATAAAATTTGCCTGCAGTGTGTTATATAGTGCACAAACGTGTTGGAGGAGAGTCTGAGCATCTTTTGAAGCCATATCTTAACACGTGATTGCTCTAAGTTAGTCTCAGCCAATGATACCAAACAATTTTGTCAAAATAATACATTTTTTTAAAGACACTGTATTTTGGCAAGCATAGTAGAATTCATAGTATTCAGATTCCTAGTTACATAAGTTCAGTTGAGTGCTCTTGAAAACTTCATCAAATATTTTACAACCTCAATTAAAATAGAATGACTTTGAAGAAACGCTGGAGACTTCCTCTTGAATTTTTATTTTGCACTGAATTATTTTTATTACTATTTTAACATGAAATGCTGCTTTTATGGTGTAGGGTCTAGATAAATTGCTTTTTTGTCAATATGCCATCACATACTAAATTCAGAAATTCTAGCTGGTGTGGAGCTACTGTCTATATACATCAGGATCCTTGCCAGTTACTCAACTGCTGTTGCACAATTAAAGAGAAATGGAGAAAATCACACCAGTAGGGTCCCTTATGCTGGAACCACTCTTGCTTAGTATATTTAATGACCTGAAAAATAATTACAATAGCAGAACATCAATGCTTCCTGTTGATGCAAAACTGTTCAGGTTAATTTAAAATAATATGCAAACGCAAGAAGTCTCGCAATATTGAGTCACTGAAATGTAAAATGCCATAAGAAAATATGTGTTAATGGCCATAAAGTTAGTACATGTGAGGAGGTGAAGGGAACTGAAGAGCAATCTCTTTCACTATACATACAGAATAGTGAACTCTAAATTATGTATTAGCATTCATAGAAAATATTCTGAAATCAAAATAGGTAGATTTTTTGAAAGGTAAAAATGAAACAACTCTCTGCAGAATGAGAGAAATTTAATTTTGAGAATTCTTGGAAAATAGGGACAGTGCCAAAAATGTAATTCAAATGTATAAGTCCACAATCTGCCCAAATCTTGGATATTGAGTGCTGTTCTTGCCATCACATTTTAGGATATAGGGAAACAGGAAAAAGCATTTTGAAAAGGTAAAGAGAGTAAGTGGGTGATCAGAGATGCTGATTAACTTCTGTGTGGTGACAGACTAGATAAATTGAGTTTCTATACATTGGAAACAAGATAACCGAGAGAAGATAGAGTAAAACAAATAAAACAATTGATTACACAAAGGGAGTGAATGCAGAACTATCGTTTCAGTGTCTCTTAACATACACAATAAAGAGCTTGTGTTAATATCTCTAGGCAGCAAGCTTATAACAGTAAGAAACTTTTTCTCATACAAGATATAATCAAATGCGAGACTGCCACTGGATGTTGTAAAGGCCAAAAGTTTAACAGAGTTCAAAAAAGATTTAATGGCTACTTTTGTTTCATGAATTGTGAAAACATTGTTCTCAGACACAGCTTCTGGCTTAGGAAGTTCCTAAACCACTAATTGCCAGAATATGGGAAGCAGGGGTGCTCAGCGCTTGCCATGCCTCTTATAATCTTTCCTTATGCATCTCCTAATGGCTGTGTTGGGAGCAGGATAATGGGCTAGACAGTTTTGGGTTGTGTTGTTTTTTTTTTTTGTCTGACCCATTATTGCTGTTTTTATTTCATAGGCGTAGATTTATTTTTTTCAGTAATAGGGAGACAAAATGGAAATTTTCAACTTGTTTTTGGAGTTCAGTAAATGCTGTCTGGAATATGATTCTTAATAGCTAATTATAAATGATCACACTTTTTGCTTTCCGTTTAATACGTAAAATGTAGTCTACAAATTCATGTGCTGGATGCTGAGAAAGATTTTCTCTAAATACAAGGAGATACGGATGAAGGTGAATCATTTATGCATTTCACTTGCATAATCATGATATATGTGTTTTAAAGAATAACACATTGAAAAACCGGAGATAGTGAGCAAGGGGAGTTTTCTGTGGTTCTTCAGTCTGAAAGTAGGTGAATAGTATTATTTTTGCTATTGCTGTGAGGTAAGGAATACTAAATTTCAGTGACAACATCCTAAACTTTATAGTTTTTCTTCTGGCAATTACTAGGAACAGAGACAAACAAGGAGACTTTCTTCAACATCTGTATTTTGTTTTTTGTACAATGCTATCATCCTTTTTTCTTCTCAGAGTGAAGATTGGCTTTTGAGATTAAAGAAAATATAAAATATTTCTGTTTTTTTTAATGACTAACCTATTCTAGTTTTTTTCCATTTGAATTTATAGTGTATGAGTTTATCTGTACTTACTAAACAGAGATTTAATCAATTATCATAGTGCACTTAAGAAATGAAAAACATGTTACTGTGTGTCAAAGGAGTTTATCCTGTACTGCATGCAAACTATACAAATTGTTATAAATCATGGTCTCAAACTTGTGAAGTTGTTGGTTTTGTTTATTAGGAAACCTTGCTTCAGATCCAAAAAGGCAATAAGGAGACTAGACGTACCAAGGAGAAAGTGAGCCACGATCGATCATGAAATGCAGTTACACAATATTCAAAGCTCAGTGAAATAAGGACCTTAAATAGCAGTACTCTGTAAAGTTTAAAATTAAAAATAGTTTCATCATATGGAGTGAGAAGGGGGGTTAGATCAGTGAAACTGATCTCCTATATCTTGTTTGCTGTTGATTTATATGAAATTTTACTTTTGAATCTCCTTTTCATAGGAGATTGTTAATAAATTTTGGTCATTTGTGAAATATTACTTCAGTGGTCTTTAAGGAGATTTCTTGAGTTCAGCTGGTGCTCAGTGTATACGTGGAAGCACAAGATTTAAAAAGGCCTTCTGCCTGGTTGTCCTTAGCTTGACTAATGTAATTGCAGATTTTGTTCTAGCAGTAAGGCTTTATATAACAGCACAGAATGTTACTGCTGTGATGAGTTGCAATAAATTGTTATCTGGATTAAAAGAATGGAGGTTATAATATAAACTTCCGTTTGACCTTTCTGGTATAGCATCATATAGAACTGCAGTGTGTATCCAGAAGACAGACAACAATCCCCTGCACCACCAGAGTAGCTGTAGGATACCAAAAGGAGTTTGGTAAAAATAATTAAGCCCAGTCTCTCTTGTTTTAACTTCATTTCTGCTTTAACTTTCCCCTTAATTTCTTGGAAAATCTTTAATATAAAGCTGTCTTTCACTGGAGGAATTCTAAAGTGTTTCATATTAAGAAGACTTGCCAAAAATCTGAGCTGAGTCTTCAGCTGATGAAAACTGTCAGAAAAAAATTATTCTATTCCTTGTAGATCAGAAATCTGAAAAATAAACTGCTGCTTTGGAAGTGTGTATGCAAATATTGTGTTTGTTGGTCATTCTCATGTTTATAAAATTTGCAGAAACTGTTTTAGACATATGAAAATAAAAATTTTCTATGCCATGGAGACTTGTAGGGATTCTTTGAATTCTTAGCTTCCTGCTTTGCTTTACTACTAATGAATGATGTTGCATTGAGGGGGAATATAATAGGCCTAATGGGGGACAGATGTTGATAAATCAATCTTTACTGTTGCAGCCATGGTAATTTCATGCAACCACCACTGAGAATCTTTTAAGCTCTCATGTAAAGATAAGGAAAACTTAAATAATTTGAAAATGTTATGGATTTCTTTTTAAAAATTACTATTGTCTTTTTTCCCTTAGCTCTATGAAACTGTCCTTTAGATGTATATGTGTAGACATACTTACCAAGATCGTACTATTAATATAAAAATGTTTTTAATAAATATTTATGTATAGTATATGTTAGAAGATCTGTTTTCTTCTGAGGATTGGGGAGCAGAAATGTAAACTGAAATAATCTGAACCTAGTGGTAAATCTGAAAAAAGTTTGGCACAGGTGATTTCTAGAGATAGACAGTGTCTGTCCTGTCCTTGGTTTGGAAGCAAGGGTCAGGTAGGACTCCTTGGCGGAGGTGATGCTCCTTCCCTGGCAGCTCCCTCCAGCAAAGGGAACCAGAGGTCCAGTCCTCCCAAGGTGGAGCCTGGGTTTTGTGCAGGCTGGGCGAGAGGCTGCAGGAGGCAGCAATGGACCGGGCAGGCCGTGGAGAGAGGGAACTAAGTTCCACGGAGTTAAAGGGAACAGGTTGCTGCCACTAAAGGAATTCTCTGAGCTAAACGGGACTAAAGCAGAAACCGTAGCTTGTCTGCAAAGACAAAGTAGGTGAGGGTGAATGCACTTGTGCAAACTTTTGCGCTGTCACACCTAGGGTACTATAGCTGATCTTTATATACTTTTAGATATAATGCTAGTAATGCTGGTCACATCTAATAAAACCTGGCTCTGTATGTGTGTATGGCTAGGGGGAGGATTAAGAGGTTTTTTTTAGGATCTGGACACTTCACTCTAAGGAAAAATAAAAATGTAGGCAACTTTACCTCAAGGCTCTGGTGAACTCAGAAAGGTGAGCTCAGAACAGCTCCAGTACAACTGCTCTTTCAGGTGCCACATTTTACCAGCTGGAGACAGCAAGGGCACAAACTGCAGGCCTGTTGCCCTTGTGTTAGGGTACGCTCATCAGGGAGATTTTCAGCCTCGCTGATTTGTGTCATATTTACTGTAGTGCAAAGATGTGCAAGAGACATTTCCCCTAAAAAGTGTAGTCTAAACTTCTATTTACTTGAATCTCTATTATGTTTTGCAAATCATTTTATAACAGGGAATATGGTGTGAAGGTGATTAGCAAACCGAAACCTGTGTTTGGAATAGAAAGCTAAGTATGTCGCTGTGTTTACTACAGGCAAATAATTCAATTAGTTGCCTTTTTGTCAATCAGTTGCAAGCTGATATGTGGATGCAAGTGTATGGTATTGCTGGTGGTTGTTCTAAGGTTGTTCTGGTTTATCTTACTCTTCCTTCTCTTTCTCTGCCTTCTAGCATGCACTTAATTCAGGTGGATTCTGTTCAGCGATGGATGGAAGATTTGAAGTTGATGACGGACTGTGAATGTATGTGTATTCTCCAGTCCAAGCCAATCAGCATTGAGAAGGATGAACAAAATGAACTTATCCTTTCCTCACAATACAGCACTTGTGATAACTTGCAGCTGCTATTAAAAAGGGCTTGGATCATAAGCACAGAGTTGACCAGGATTGCTCAAAAGCTGGAGAGGAATAGGTGGCAGAGAGTCCACAGCATGACAGTAAGAGTCAACTGCCATGTACGTTCAATGATAAATGAATATAATACATTCACCAGAAATTCTTCAGAAGAAATGCACCAGGTAGGATTCCTTACTTGATGTCATGATTGCCTTATATAAATTTTTTATTGTTATAATTCAAACTTATTTAAACAATCTGTAAGAAATTATTGCATACTGATACTGGTTCATTGTTTAAGACTTTCTAATCCCTTTTAGAAAGGGGAACATTTTTGACTCATTTTGGATCCTATTTTCTCATAGGCCTGATACTGAAAGTTGATAATGTCGACAAATTATGTTGAAAAAAGTTTTGTTTTTGAGGACCACTGGACTAAAGTAACTAGATGCTCCATCTGTGAGTTCATTTGCATTCGTGATGTAGAAAATAGTACTTTTTTGTTAAAAAAAGCCTGTTCAGCTCCCTCTGAAGAGGTTTCCTGTCTTCAAGCAAGTCAATACACCTGCCCATTTAAAGTTCCCATTTTATCTCTACTCATTTTATTCAGAAGAGTAGAAGAAAGGTGCCTCTATAAAATAATATGTTTCTAGAGTTTTCACCTAGTCATCCTAAACAAGCATTTTTTTTATTTTTTAAAAGCAACTGTGTGTATCGATATTACTTTAAAACCACTTTCTCTTCTTCTCCCTGCAGTTTGAAAAACTTTTAGTAGACAAGTGTTCAGAATTTACAGCATTCACAGAAAGGTAATTTAAATTTTCTAAGCAAAATACTTGTTTTGCTGGTTTATTATGTTGAAAAACTTCTCATAAGAAGTACAAACCTGCTAACACCCTCAAATGTTTAAAGTAGGCCCCCCACAGCTCTAAACATCAGCCCCTGGTAGGTGAAGTGAGTTGCTTTTATCTAAACTCCATCCTAATGAAAGGTGGTATCTGCTGCTGTAGACACAAAGCCTTGTGCGAGGGGGGTTTTCAGGGCTTTTTGACACCAAGGGAGGAAGTCTGGCTCGAAGGGAGCATTGTAGCTGGTATCATTTAAGTTCTGTGGAGCCAAAACTTCAGCTGGTGTGAAAATTTAGGTTGGGAGACTGTCATACATAGTGTTCCTGAATGCACATATTAGTATTACTGTATCAGTAAATCAAACTGAAATGATTACACATTCCTTTAAATTGCAGTTGTAGGTTTACCCAGCTTCTTGCACTCCGGAATGCTGTGGCTTTATAATTTTTCTCATGATATTTGCCCTGCCTAATGTAAGTTGGCCTGTTCCCTCCAGCATGGTCCGATTGGCCTGCTTCAATTTACTTTAAACACTGTGCAAGTCATTCTGCTCAGCAGATCACCAGGGAAAAAGACACCATCTAATTATCAGGAAAGAACACATCTCGAGCACTACTGCTTTTTGCCAAACTCACACAGCTCAGACTTTACTTTTATAGTCTACTAGGAGACACACTGATTGAAAGAGAGCTCTGATCTCGTAGTGTCTGCCCTGAATCATCCCTTTCTCTTCTCGTGTGTTTGACAAAAAGTTGATATAGGTGGGTGGAAGAAGGGCAAAGCTGAAAAGCGGACCTACTGTGTAGGTGGAGACATGGATCAACCGAACTGCATCCTTCATTACAGGGGTCTGCCTGGGTGGAATATGTTTTGACAATTCAAATGAATGCATTTCTGTAAGGAAATGGTAGTTATTTCATTTGAATGAAATGTTTGTTTTGAAATGAAAAGTTTCCATCTTTATCTCATGACTTCAGTTGCAATCTGAAGGTTACAGGATAGTTAAACTGACTGTAAAGTTGCTCTGTGTAATCTTTCTGCAAACAAGGCTAAATTTTACTTTTGAGTATGCTGTTTAAATTTAAATGAACTATCATCTGGACATCCTTTTTGAAACCTCATCCTGCTATCATTAATCTGTGGCAAAAAGATAAAGAAATGAAAATTATTGAGAGTTCTTCTTTGGTCATGAAAGATGGATGGATATACAAAGCTTCAGTTGAAATGCAGACATCCTAGAGTGACTGGGTTTCCTCTGTGGAAAATAGCAGAGTTACAGTGGTATAAACACACAGCATCTGCAGCAAAGTTTGGCCCACAGTCTCTGAAACAAATTGTTATCCCAAAAATTCATTAATGTGCACTACTGTCTTGTGAAGAGTTGAATTCCCATTATTAATACAGCTCACCTGTCGCAATCAGCTTGATGAAACACTTGTTATCTGATGCATCCTTTTTCCTTCACTGCTTTCCTTTCTCTTCGTTTTCAGGTGCATACAAACTGAAGATGAACAGATACTGAAGACCATGAAATCTTGTATTAATGAAACGCTTACTACTGTTGCTCAGTATTTTGGCCAGTTGATAGAGCTTATTTTAACACATGAGGCACAGGTTAGTTTGTAGTTGTTATTTTTTAGTTTGTTGTTTTGTGTTTGGGGCCTTTTTTAGAAAAAAATGTCTTTCAAAATTTTCAAATCATGAGGGACAGCATCTGTTAAGTGGGGGCTTAGAATTTCAGCTCTCAATTTTCAGCACACATATGATCAGTAATTAAAATATTTTCTGAAGAGATTTAGGTGTTTGTATTCTCAGATTTTCCAATAATCTCAAATCCTAAACAAAATGATTTTATGGCTCACTGTGTTACTATTCCTGATGTGTCTCCTTCAGTACAAGACATCCAATTTCTAGATAATGTCTTGTTAACAAGACTTCTGGAAACATTTTCTCTTCCTTTCATACAGACACTTCTTTTCTTTAGAATCCTTGAAAAGGAAGAGGAAATAGTTAAATTGCACATGCTGTGGTGCTAAAATGAAATTAATGCGTTGTATTGGTTAAATTCTAATGTTGCTTGACATGTTAAGATAGCAAAAAGTTGTGGCCGTTTCAGAAACCTCCTCTGTAGTTTTCAAAGATCATTACTAAGCAGTGAGAATCCCCAGTATGCATTTGCAGAGTTACAGAAAACTAAGAAGCTACTTGCTAATGTGCTTTGGTTAGGATTTATGAGAACTACATGAAATGTGACATATGAGTTGAAGTGTGTAAATAATTTTGCGGATTTGCAAATACAGCAAGTAGATTGTGGTTGTTTTGATGTTTATTCTTTTTAATTTGAAGAGCAATTCTTCATTGCTAATATTTCTGTCTTTGGGCACTGTAGTACCTACTGATACACCTGAAATCCTTGTTCCTTTTTCTTATAAAGGAGCAGGATTAATTACTTCGCATTGTCTTGTGTATATTTGTGTGGCTGAAGACTTGGACTAGAGGTCAATAATACAAGCATTTTTAAGAAGAGTTTTCTGAGCTGCTCAGGCAGGCTGCATGCCCACTTCTGCCACACAGCGTTCTGTAGGTAGTTTTCTGCTCTACAGCAAACTATGTGTCTGTGTGAGAGGCCAGAATTCCCAGCTTAGATTGTGTGCTCAGGAGTTCTCTTTTCTAATCACGTATCAGGACTTTATTCAGCACAGGTTCACATTGACATGTGAATTGATATGTTATATCTCTTATGGAACACTTTTCTAATGGAAAAGATGGGAGAACACAGCCTCTTAAAGGGTAGATAATTGAATTTTGTATAAATAACAGTGTAAAATGTGGGATATTTCCTTGCAATTCTTTGAAAGTTGTATTAAATATAAAAATGCTCACCTTTTTCTTCCTAGCAAATATACTTAATTATCTGTCTAATGATGGTGTGTACTTTTAGAAAGAGTCAAATTAAATAAGCTTTATATTCTTTTGACAGCTGTGTTTCTCTGTGAAGCTGCAATGGCACACATGAAACAGGCAGATAACTATTTATAAAAAATATAGATAAAATATTTAACCTATTTCATACATTGGAGAAATAAACTATATGCGCTGTATTGGTCAATGATATTTTCTGTGTAGATGGAGAATAATAATGAGCTCAGAGCCTTAGAAAGTGGTGTTGGAAGATTTATAGCAATATTCCTTGTAACTAAGGTGGGAATCTTGTATCACCTCATAATACAGCTTCCACACTAAGACAGTTAATTGCCTTCTGAAAATTTAGGTTCAATCCCAGGCCAAACCCGGTAACAATTTACTGAATAGCTTTCAGCTATTTATTGTACGTTCTCACATACATACCTGTTTTCTTACTCTACTAATATTTATTTTTAAATATCACTGTTCATAGTTACATCTTGTTAAATGTAATTATAAACATGTTACAGCCTTGTCAGTCTGACTCCTGCCTATGTTTCACTTCCTTTCTTGGGGTGAGCAGGAAGGTGATATGAATTAAATGAACTAGACTTTCTACTCCATTTTATCTTTAAATATAACACTAATGTTTTTCACGGGAAGTAAATTATGCTTATCTTATGTTACACAGAACCTGCTGAGGCAAATAGAATTGTCCGATAGTATATATATCACTGAGTCGGCGATTAGTAGTTTATTCAGGCTTACCCAGGAAGGTGCTCACCTGTGCCGTATCATAGCTAAGGTAAGAGTATATGCGATTTAATCCAAAGTAAGACAGTAATACAAGTTGTTTTACTTAACACCATGTAGCAGTTGTGAGTTTTGAAATGTACAGTGCAATATGAAATTATTTCAGGAGACAAACAATATAGGTAAAAGGACAATAAAATTAATTCTGAGAAACTATATTTTTTTTCTTCTGCTGCTGCTTTTGCAAGCCTTATTCTGAAAAGTTTACTACCACGATTTCCCCATGAGATTTTTTTTTTTTAAAAGGGCTGCTGCCACCCAAATCTTTAACGAAGCTCAATGTCTTTGCAAGCAACTGCAGTAGCATGATAAGCTCCAACAGGCTTCTGGGCATTGATTTGACTACAGGTTTCTTTGTGCCACCTGAGGTGTGACCACTCCCTTCAGCATCTTGAGCTGAAATGTCTGTCCTGGCAGTACTTTTTAGGTACCAGCCATGTAAGCAGAGAGAAACTTCACAATTGGATTCAGCATCACACTCCATTCATCATGTGCCCTGAAATGTCTGTCCTGGCAGTACTTTTTAGGTACCAGCCATGTAAGCAGAGAGAAACTTCACAATTGGACATGCATGTGGCTCACCACACAGGGAAACAGCAAGACCTCTTCAGCTGTGTGTACAGATTTTGTTAGAGATGTTAAGATGCTATTTTAAGAAATATTTTACATCTGTTATCTTCTTTTTACAGAGGAACGTCAATATAGTTACTTCTGGCAGTGTGTGTTCTCATTTAGTGAGTAGTTGATAATAACTTTTACTATAAACAAATAATTATGCCAAGATCAGGGATACTGGCAATCCCTTTGAAGACACCTGGATCTTGGAAAAGTGAGAAAGGCGGAGAACTGTGTGAGGTCAGGGGTAGGATAATCACAACCACAGTGTATGCAGAAAAAAAGAAAGCCTCCTTTCCCAAGCTTTGCTTTGTGGAGTGATGTGCCAATCCCTTGTCCTGCTCAGAGATTAGACAGCAGCATTTAACTCATTTTACTTCTAATCTGCCTTTAGGTGGATATTTTCACCACAAAAGGTACTGCTGTGTTCTGAAGGCTGCAAATTAGGTAGACTCAGAAACATGTAGTGAGTGGATCCTGGCAAAAGCCCGAGAAGTCTAATTTTTTCTAAATTGGTATTTGAGCTCCACTCAGTGGCATCCAAAAACAATGTTAAAATTTTGAGTATTGAGGAAGTGTAGAACTGAGGAAAATTGGTCTTGTGCTTTTAATCATTATGTGAATTCTGTAACAGTTTAATTATCAGAAGTGAAGTCTAACCTTCCATAAATCACTAACTTATTGCTAAGATACGGATGTGTCACAAGTTTACAAGTGAGGAAATATGCCCCCTTAAGCAAAGAACCCGAACTGGTGTTTGGTTGCCAAATTACAGCACCCTGTGCCGTACGTGCCTTTCCTCTCTGCACTGGGAAGTACGTTTGTCCTGACTTGCCATCATCTGCCACCCTCTGTATTGCCTCAGTGAGCAAGGTGGCCGAGAAATTGTAATGGACCAGAATTATTAATTCAGTCACTTGAGTAATTAGCTGTGACAGTGAAAGTGCAGGGTGATTTGAAGAAAAGAAAGAAATCTGGAATTGTGCCCACTCGTTAAAAGGGAGAGAATAGATTCCAGGTTTGCCAGCATCTCAAAACCTCCCACAGATAGAGAAGTTCCGTGAGGGTTGCCATATCATCTTTGGTAAAAACTAGCTGGAGAAATGGAATGTTTGCTTACAGTGAAAGCAAAAGTCAACAGATTTGTTCATGTAACCTTGAAGTCTTACTCTCCATGACAATGTGTGATCTTCTGGAATACTGTTGTTACCTTTTTTTCTTGTCCCAGACTATAAATTACTGCTCTAAAGCACACCAGGATCTTGGACATGCAAGCAAAGAACCATGGTAATATTGTAAAGCTACGTTATTATAGGAACTGGTTTCTCACTGTATATTTTAAGGGTTTCAGTCTTTTCCCTTCTTGCATCTCCTCCCCCTCCAAAATTTTACAAAAATTAAAAAAGTCTTTGAAATGCTAACACCTTATGCTGAAGTATCACCTGTAAATTTATTCCACCTGGAGGCTTCCTTAGACTTTTTTTTTACAGCATGTAACTGTAATCTGCTGTGAAAGAGTCACGTTGCTGACTCACCCTGGCAGCCAGCTAGTCATTCTCACTAGATGTCAGAAGTATAAAGGCACAGATCTCTAACACAAATGAGTAGTAGCAAGGGCAAGATAAGAAATGAAGGGAGAAAGACTAAATGCTGCTGATGTTAATAAAAAAAATCCCTTCATTTCTTATCTTGCTCTTGCTACTACTACCACTATTAATTATTATTATTGTTGTTAAAAAACAAAAATTGAATTCTGAGCTAATGAAAAAAACATATGTACTACATAGTATGTAGTGTTCATCTGCACTAGTGGCAACATAATGGAAGCTCCATGTGTTTATATGATTTTTAAAGCCAAAAAGAGAAAATTGGGAAAGAAAGAGCTTAAACTCAGAAATTATGCATTTTGAGCGGACTTGTGCAATTGTAAAAAATTATCATTACCTGAAGTAGAATGGTTCTGAATTGATTTGACTTCATAAAAACCAGAAGAATCAGTAAAAAATCAGTTCCAGAGTTACAATAAATAAATGTTGGGACATAGAGTGTTAAAGAAAAAAAAAGTCTTTGTAAATAAATCCATTTCACTGTTGGTAACTAGAGTCTAATAACAACTGTGTTGAACTGGATGCTATAATAATAGTCTCCTAAACCAGGGAGAGGCAAAAATGAAGATAATGAAGATAGCCATATCTGTTTATCACACTCTTCTTCAGAGAACGCTGAACTATTTGAGTTCCCTATGGATGTGCAGCAGATCATTTCCTCCATGAAGCTTCTAATACAGTTTAGCCCTACCTTTTTTTACGTCAGTTCCTATTTTAGCAAGTGTTTACTACATACGTTTCTTTGGAGATCAACTTTCAAGCTGATTACAAATGTTAACCTCCATCATGAGGAGAAGCTTGATGAGAATTTACTGCACTTTAAGTCGTTTTAGACTGAAACTACAAAATATTGCACCTTAGGTTTGTATGCCTTTCCTCTCCCCTCTTTATTCACTCAACTCACTATGCACAGTGGGGCTTTTTATACTCATGACCTCCTTCACATACTGTTTGTGACTGTATTTCACAATACAAGCCCTTCTGAACAACATCTCCGGTATGTCTCCATGAAACTGAGTTCCTGTTATTCCAACACAGGAGAGAAGTAGGTTATCAAGCAGTGCAGTAAGTTCTCTTCAATTTAAGATACTGCTTCACAGAGTATGTGAAGCCCATTCCAGACGAAACTTGAATTACAGCAAGAGCAGCATTTCATGTATTATTTGGTCATAAACTGGAAATGGCAAAAAATCTCTAAAGGACAAATGAAAGCATGCTTAGACATATTGGGAACTTTTGGAAAGATGCAAGTTAATCTCCAGAGCAAGCAAATTTCAGGGCTGTTATGTTTCTTTGCCTGAATGGTACTGTTTACCCATTTGACCAATTTGTGTATCCCTGTCAAATGGAATAGTTTTGTCAACATTGCAAAAGATTTAGGGGACTAATCTTGAAAAAGGTGAACAAATCCTGAGGAATGCAGAGATCCCAGTGAGCCGAGTGGATTTTGACAAGCTGTAGAATCAGGCTCAGTGTTTCTGTATTTCACTTTCAGCTTTCTAGGTTCCTTACTCGTGATTGGAATTTTACAGCTTGATAATGTCACACAGGGCACAAAATAAACAGTTGAGATCTTCTCCTGACAAGTGCAGTCATAAATCATTTCCTGCCCATCAGAGACAGAAGTAGGGCACCCATTTGTCATACAAGCGTGAAGCGAATGTGCCAACATCACTTGGGCTTTACTAGTGTTGTCCATCAACTTCTGCTAATTATGACTAAGCAGAGGATCATGTCACCTTTGATTCTGCTGAACTGTTGGGACTTTCAGACTGATAAATGAATAAGTAAATTAAGCAGTTATCTTAGGTTTGGGGACAACACTGCATTACAGTTTGGGGGTTTTTTTTTTCTATAACTTTCATAGATAATCCAGTTACTGCTTAGGTGAAATAACAACATCCTTTTGTGGAAGGAAAACCATGACTGAAACTTACTTTTTATGACTGAAACCTTTTTTTTTTGTTAGTGTACTGCCTCTTTTTTACTTTAGAAGCTCAGAAATGTCTTTCTGCAGTAGGCTATATATAGCAGTACTAGATATAAAATAACTCCTATAGACATATGGGCACTTCTTACAATTCTGGACATAAATTTTACTCTTAGGAAACCTCAGTGACCCTATTGTCTTCATTGGTCTCACAAAAATTACATGTACATGTGCAAAGACATAATATAAAACTTCTATCTTGAAAATATATTCAGGTGTTGATTTTGTCTAATTCTAATTTTCTGATAAATTGCTATAGATTTTTGTTAGACTGAACAGGCAGCTTTTCTTGCTCTATTATTCTCTAGTCTATTCCAGCAGAAATGGTACAAAAATGTAGAATTCTGAAAATGAGTGAAGTCTGAATTGTAGTCCCAAGGCTTTATATCATTACACCTGTTCAGCTTTCAAATACCACAAAAGGTTGAGGATAAAAGATTATTTCTGTGAATCTGAAAAATATTTTTATACAGAGGCTACAGAAGCTGACTTTAAAAGAAGGATGTATGTTATTCTTGGTCTATGTTTCCAGCTATTTTTAATTTATTACTGCAATCTTTACTTTTTAATCTATTACTGCAATGATTTAGGCTGAGATCTTTCATCTGTCATTAAAATTTTCGATGCTTCCCTGTTCATTTTATGTCTGCTCTTACATAATATAAGGCATCTGTAGTCTACCTGATGGCATAACATTTTGAAGTGGACAATTGGACCATGAAGTGAATATATTGATTTTATATTTATTAAATTTATATATTTGCATTTGTGGTGTAAACTTTGTTAACATACATATTTACAAACTGTGTTGGAAATGTTTAAGGGCAGCTACTGTAAGGATCTATGTACACTCAATTATTTGTAATTATTGCCATATTTAAAGAAAAGTGTAGGAATGCAAATCTTATGTATTAGAGGGTGAAGATATAGATTGTATCTGTATAGAACTTCACACCTATTTCCACCTTATTTTCAGTATCTCATCAACCATATGACCTTCTTTTTCAAATTTTAGCGTCGAGTAAATAATGTACAGGGCCCAGAAATGTAGAGGAATGGGAAACATATGCTATCAAAAATCTGTTTTAAACTACTAGCATATGGTTGAGCTACCAGTTATATGTCACTCCAATTGCTGCTTGTTGATAATTCTTTGTAATTTTTGATGTCAAGTTTAATTTAAATTGTGCTTGTAATTGGTAAAAGTCAATCTCTTAAGCACACCTCCTACCGAGGCTATATTACTTTTTCATCACTTACTGTATAAGCATTAATCAACTTGAGTTCTCGGTGTGAGCTTAACGTCTTCTTTGTTGGTGGTGTGATGATAGCTAATTTGGATAAATTACTAAAGGAATCTGCCTCCCATTCTGACCTCAGTTAAATGCCAGGGAAACATTCAGTGCTGCTTTTCTGAGTTTTACTTTTCCCCTACAGGAAGGAGGTGTAGTTGCTCTCTTTAAGATCTGTCGCCAGGATTGTTTCAGGTGCCTTTTTCCCCAGACACTGAGAACATTGGCCTCCATTTGCTGTGTCGAGGAGGGGATGCACCAGCTGGAAAAGGTAGGCACTTCAGCATTCTTTACTGACTGCATCAGAAACGATATAGAAGTCCTGACTTTAATCTCTTCCAGGAATTGATAACTTGGTGGTATTTGATACTGTGCTCACTTTTTCTGTGCCGAACACATCTTCAGTCCTCACAAAATTAGTTCCAGCAATAATGTGATCCTATGCAGTTACTTGCAAAAATAAGCTTTCCAAGTGGGGATAATTTTCATAAAACAGGTAAACATGTTAGTGACTACGTCAAACAAATAAATAGGGAAATTATAGTTTCTGGACCTTTTGAAGTGTTTGCTTAGAAACTCCACTATTTCAGACTCTTAAAAGACAGAAAGCTTTAAACCTCTTTAAATCCTTTCCTGACACTCAAGTGGGGCACCTGCCTGTGGTTCTGCAGTACCTTGTGAGAGTTGTAATTGCACAGAAAGAACTGGGTCAGATACAGCAGCTGGCCAATAGAAACACATGTCTGCTACTCAGAAGCAAGTCTTATGAAAGCCAATTTTAACTGGGGTGGCAAACATCAAAACATCATCCAGATAAAATCCTAGCAACTGCTTAGGCTCCACTCTTTTCTCACTCTCACTACATACTGCTGTTTTGGAAAATGAACACTTCTGATCACTAAATCATGATCTCATCCTTTGTATTTCATAAAACAGTCATCTTCCACAGCTGAATAATGGCCTTCTCAAGTTAATGATAAATGATTTCGCTGCCATTTTACATTGACATATCTTGTAATTTACTGCCCAGAATTCAAGCAAACCATGACAGAACATCTGCAGCAAAAAGCAAGTCTCTGAGCTTACAGTAAATGAAGATTACTTAAATTTTTTTTTTGACATGATACTGCTTCAGACTGACACCAGAATCAGTCTAAAAGGATCTTTCATTATGTCCACTCTAATAGTAGAATTAATAGAGTTAGAAAAGATTGATTTAACTCACCTGGTGCAATTCCTGGCAGTGTCAACATGCATTTAATGTCAGCTTTATCAAAGCTGATGAAACAGAAAAAGTGCTAACTCTCAAGCCGCTGTGTCTTTGATCTACTTTAATGTTGGTCACAAGTAAAATGTGATAAAAACTTTATCATGATCAGGACTGGGGTAGGCTTTAAAGGATTTTTAACAGAAATATCTACGACTGATTTCAGTAGCTCATTTTTCACCTTGGCCTTGAATTTTTAAATCACACCTTGGCAAAACTTAAGTCTGCAACATGAGGGGCTGGATACTAATCCTACTCGTCTGACTGAACAAACAGGTTTATGACAGGAGTATTTGGTTATTACTTTGTCAACGTCTTTGCCTAAAACTGTGTTGCCGAGGGTCCGTATGTTATGTCCAGTATATGGCTGTGTTTCTGGTGGGAGAGAATGGGATATTTCATACATCAAGAGAAATACAGAAATTTTCTCTTAAAGGAGGTTATTGTGCCTCCAGGTGCTAATGGACATGAAACAATATAGGCCAATACAACGCTATGTCATCTGTAAATAATCCGTCAGCTGCTGACAGCTCAGGTTTGCCAGTTTACAGCTCTGAGGAAGGACAGTAAATAAGAAAGTTCTTCTACTCTTTGTACTTGCTTTTCACCTTTCTTTTACATGTATTTAGAAACAACAAAATATTCTGACCATGGGGAATCAATGACAAGTCAGTGGATCAAATGACTGGTATTCTGATGTGAACAGTGCTCCGTTTTTTTTATATTGTATTCTTTAAATAAAATTTTTTTTTGTCCAAAGTTTGAAGTACTTTTGCAAAGAACAAAAAAGAGGGTTAACTATATTGGCAACAGAAATTACCACAAGACTTCTAATCTGGCAGAAAGGGAAGCTTCTGTTATCCAGCTAAGTACCTAGGTGGTGGTAAATCATTTGATTTGCTCTAATGTGAATATCATTATGCCACCTAGTGCACTAAAAACATCAGTACAATTTGAATTTGATTTTTAATGAACGAATCTTCATTCAAAAAATAAAACTTGGCATCTAAACAATTCGAGTAATTCAAGATCAAAAAAACCTAAAAAAATACATACAGCCAAAACACACCCCACCCCACTCTATTTTTCGATTAGATTTCACAATTATTAAAGTGTTTACAAGACCACTTAAAAAAAACCAGCAAGAGCTATGATTTCTAATGGAACATTTGTCTGGGAGGTGAACTAAAAGTGTGTGGAATGTTTTCTGCAGTAATTGCAGTGCTTAATTACTGAAGACCTTAGGAATATTGTTTATTTATCCTATGCTCTTTGATCTTTCCAATTCAGTAGCAACACAAGAAAGTAACAAGAACATCAGTGTTAAGGTAGATGGTTATTTAGAAAGTAAGCAAGGGAGTCAGCAGTTCACAGGAAACAATCCAAGCAGAGAGTATTTTAACATTTTTCTTGGTTTTATGATACCTGAATACTAGGCTTTCTTTATAATTCGTGCAAATTTAATGTGAATGATGATGTACTAGGTTTAAACCATTTGTCTTGAGTGAGTTTTTTGGTTGCAATGTGGAAATACTGTCCTCGTTTACTAATGAAGGAAAGTAACAATTGAGCACTCATTTCCAAAGACGTGGAAAATTGATTATTATATGCAAAAATATTTTCCTCAGTTATTTCAAAAAATAATTCTTGTTCTTCCCAGTCACACATCTTTAAATATGTATCTTCATTACTCTCCTACCAGTGTGTTTGAAAAAGTCATTATTACTTTTTCACTGAGGGAAACATGCTGTAATAAAAGAACTGCAGAGTTAGATTGAAAATAAGTAGCAAACAGTGCAAATTACTGCAATTTTTACTGTGCAAGTGAAACAATATTACGTTAAAAACCTGTAACTCAGCTGGGGCATAGATCAAGGCTCAACTGCTACAAAAACGTAATGATTTACACAAATAGTCATTCAGGCAGCTGCCTAAATTGTAACGCTGTGCAGTGTGTGTTTACTTACACCATTTAAACTACTCCAGAAAGCAGGACACCTGGAATAAACTCATTAAGAGAAGATATTCCAGAGATACTGGTGACAACAGTTATTACTTTCATTAATAAAACCTTTTTAACAAATGACACAGCTTTTATCACTGTGCTTTAAGCGAAATTGCCTAGGCATAGATTATAAATTGCTTTGAATCCTTCATTTAAAGCACATCATATCAAATTACTTATCCACGGAAAAATAATTTGCAGAGGAGGGAGGCAAATACAAAGTGTACTATTTTTGTGATTGAATAACTATGAATTTTACAAGGTCATCTTAAGTGTGAGTGACCTAAAATCTGTTGCTCACTGCAAACTCAGTCTGATTTTTAAGAACAACCACGAGCTTATACACAATAATAATTTCTTCATGATGGGGATGCAGTCTGTCAATGATATATATGAAAAACAAGCTTTTTGTGGGAATTAAATAAAACGTTTATTACAGAACCTGCAATTACAATTTATTCATAGCTTTTTGGGGTGTGAGAGCTTATAACTTCATTCAGCTCTAACCACTTTGAACTTTCAGTTCCAAACACTAACCTCAGTCCAAACCAGGCAGTAACTTTGTTTCAGATGCAGTATATGTGTTGTCCCGAATCCCAGCTGTTAAAGGCGCTGTGCTTCACCTATCTGTGGGGTGAGACAGACAGATGTGAGAATGTCTGTCTTCATGGTTGAATATTCCAAATGCAAAATACCAGGAGAAGCAAAACACTTAGTAAAGGTCTCCTAGAAAAGGCTTGTGAGATTGCCAGTAATTAGGAAGGAGACACCCATGGGGGCACCCATATTTAAAAGCAGGTCTGCAGGTTGCTTCTTTTAAGACCAGTAGTGTGCAGATTTCTGAGCAGCGGTGAAATGTTGATTTCTATTATGGCAAGTAATGGCTTATCCACAAGACTTCCAGCAGTGAGAATGTCTCAGGAAGTTCACAGGTCTGCCTCAGCCTGTTAGACCTTCTCACTCCTCAGAGAAGAACTTTGTGTTAAAAAAATATCTCTTCTTTTCACTTATTTCAATCGTTTTGCACCCAGTTAGTTTCAGAGAAAGGGATCAGATGGGCCTGTAACATTATAAAAATTATATGGCTATTTTATTCTAAAATTATTAGAATTAAAGGGCTTGAAAGATAAAGCATTTATTTTAAAGGAAAAATATTTTCAAAAACCCCATAGTTTTAAAAATTTAGTTTTAATTCATGGGAAATCAAGTTTCATGTAATTCTGTCTCCTGAGTGAGACAGGGTAAGGCTGAGTATTAACAGCAAAATACAGGACTTTTGGAAGTCATTAGAAGGTGATAAGTTGTTAGGGAGCCCTTCACTTATCTCTGTTCCACAAAATCAGCTAGCACATAAAGTTATAATCCTTTCCAAGTTTTTCATGGGTCATGCTGACAAACACATTCTCAATGCTTTTATGAAGGGGAATATCTTTCTTGTTTTTTCCCTAAGTAGTGCTTGTTTATATGAAAAAATACGAAAACTTCATGGCTGGGAAGAGACTGGAAGCTTTCTGCAATCTTAAAACCACAACACACTGGTTTGTGTGCGAGGAGCGTGTGAGATGAGTTAGATGGAAAGAGTTCAAGTGATGTGTTCCTTTTACATCCCCTTGGCTGGAGATGCGACTCTTCTGGTTTGCATAAGGCACTTTTTTTTCCACCTGAGAACATTGTTCTGGCTCATCTTTCATGGCTGTTTGTAGCCAGGCTTTGAAATCACCCTTGTGACCTTACGAACATAATAAGCAGGAA